GGAACAATATTTTATGTTCGGTTGTTGCTGTAACAGATCTGTATTCCCATTTTTATGCTCAGCGACACAAATATATTCATTCATTCATTCATTCATTTTTATACACCCCCGAAAACTGTTTGAATATTTTGGTTTGCAGGAAAACGACTCCAAGAGTCGTGAAAAACCTGATCTTTTCGTGTTTGTACAATACAGGGAACTTTCATACAATACTTAGTTATCTAGTCTTTTTCGATTGGAATCAGGGTTTGGTCTATAAAATCTAACACAAAGAAACCTAACCAATACGTGGAAATGAGTAGGAAGCCGAATTTTGAACGGTTCAAGATAATTATCTTGTTCGGTTGAATTCAACTACACGTGTGAAAAAGGATAAACTAATTGGAGCGTTTAACATATTAGTGTCGGCCTTAATGACTGCAAAAGTCATCATTCAATTTATCAAAGAAGTGATATATTGAAGAAAAGTTTTGTGTCTAATCTAACCACTCCGTTACACACATTTTACTAAGTTCCATTACACACATTTTATTAATTAAGTCGTTTTGATTTGAACTTTTTCTCCATAGCATTCACAATGAACTTGGAATGAAAAATAATTAATAATATTCATTTCAATTAAAAATTTAGGTTTTATGTAGGCTGTGATTTATGTAATAACTGGTTCCATGGCGTGTGTGTAAATATAACCGAGGATGAATCAAAAGAACTAACCGAATTTATATGCAGTGAATGTAGACATGCGCGTGACACTCAAGAGCTTTTCTGCTTATGTCGTCAACCATATGATGAGACACAGTTTTACATATGCTGTGATAAGTGCCAAGACTGGTTTCATGGCCGTTGCGTGGGTATTTTACAATGCGAAGCTGAGAATATTGACGAATATATCTGTCCCAATTGCCAAAAGAATAATGCCGTGAACTTCGCGAACATGAAAGACATGGGCCACAAAGAATATGAAGAGCTTAAAAAATTCATCAAACAGATCCAGGTAAAACCTGTTTTTTTCTATTCTTAATTTTCAAATTTTTTGCAACACTATCCAATGATTTATAGAGCCATAAATGTGCCTGGCCATTCATGGAACCGGTTGATCAAAACGAAGCTCCCGACTACTATGTGCTGATCAAAGATCCAATGGGTAAGACTAACCATATTAAATTTTCTTTTGTTCAATCCTTTTGAATATATTTATTTAAATTTATTTGCAGATTTACAGAAGGTTGAAGGCAAAATTAATTTAAAGAGTTACAAAAAGTTATCCGAGTTTATTGCTGACATGACAAAAATATTCGACAATTGCCGTTTTTATAACCCAAAAGAATCACCATTTTATCGATGCGCTGAAAGTTTGGAAGGATTTTTCGTCCAGAAAATCAAATATTTTCGTGAATCCTTAGCCAATTAGGATCCTGTACGTAATATAAAATGTATCGTAATAAAATTAATAAATGAATAATGAATAAATATAAAAAACTATCAATAAAATTAAATTCATCAATTAACCGGTACTTGATATTGAGTTGGTGACGTAAATTCATTTTGAAGTTTGATATTTGTAAGTCGACACCAACAATAAACAATTCTTCGTTCTCAGTTTCAGCATCTCATGAAATGTTACATTTTGATAAATTCGTTTGACTCAACTAGTGATCGAACCAAAATATTCCACTATTCTCATGGGATATTTCAGAGGAACTTTAACATACATTTTCGAAGCGGAGCCTGTGGAAGAAACCTTCGTAATAAATTTGCTATAAGGGAAATATCGCGGCTGAAAATTCAGATAAGATCCATTGCTGGGTTTGGTGCGAGACATTAGCGGACCAACTGACGATGATATCGCCAAATTTACCAAAGGCGAATGGTTTGAATCAGTGTCAATGTGGTTGTGCATGCACTCAGAGATCAATGACCATCATATCTGAGCTGACAACACCATGACGAAATTGAGAAATACATTACATTGCTAAAGATCATAAATATTTTTTGAATTTCGCGAAAAAAATTAATTTAGTTCAGAAAAAATAAAAAATCGTAACGAAATAACACGGACATTTGATTCAGTTCAACATCGTTTTATTTGTAAACCTTAGTCTGTATCATGATTTTCATTCTAAACCTCGTCTTCGTTTAGCAGCATGTTTGGTATGCCATTTGAAATTGTAAATTTGCGGCCAGTTTCGGGGCATTCAAGGTAACCGTCAGTAATGTCGATTTCGAATAGTACGTGATGAAGTTTTTGGAGAAAATCGGTGTCGTTGCTGAATGTTTGTGGTATTTCCAATGGTAGTTTGTCAATATATCCTATCTGTACATCAAAAGTCAAATACATTTGTGAATTATTACATTGGCTGGATATTTAGGAAAAGAACCATTTCAAACTAACCGCTTTAGCTCCTTCCAGAACTGTTAGCCATTCAAGCCGTGGTATCATACGAACAAGAAATTCCGCATTATAGTCGGATGGAACCTCTCGTTGTGACAAGACCTGCTTTAGCAATTTGTATCAATTTAAATTTTATTCGATCGAATTTTGAATGTAAGACTTACATGAAGCTTCAGTGGATAACCAACTTTGACGCCCTTAATGGCAGATGAAGTTAGAAAGTTATAAGTCAAGAGTTTCATGGGTAATTTTATTACATGAAAGAAACAGCAAGAAAAATAATATAAAGCACGTTTCAAATATATATATAATTTGACATTGGCATCTGTCAAAGTAAAATATATGACAGGTACTAGACCATCATGACATTCAATCGATGTTATGTTTGTGGAGTTAAAAATTCTATGACAATTCGTAACACTTTTGCCCGCAGATGGCAGGCAAAGCTAATGTCATGCTTGTAGTTTTTTGTTCATTTCGAAATTTATTACTATAAAGTGTAAACGAACGGCCGGAAAATCATATTGTTATCGTAATGATTTGTAATTGATTGACATTTTAATCCAACAATAAATCGCACATTATCGAATGTAATGATAACATAACCGAAATTATCAAAATGATGGTAGTGAATTGTACCCTGAAAAGCTTCTGAAGACTCCCGTTCGCTGTGTAATTTCCGTATCAACTAGGCCAGATTCTCAATGAAATATCAAACTTTGCTTTGATCCATTAGATTCAGATAGAACAACTTCCACTTAAAAAGGAAAAATTAAATGAATAAAGCATTGTTAGTATTGTGACATCGGTCAAGTGATCGAACCAAAAGATGCCACTGTTTGAGATTTTTGTGTGTAAAGGTTTCTAGTCCTAGCCTAGAGAAAAATTTCTTCGTAATAATCAAACTAGTAATGAAAACTGCATCGCAAACATTTGGACTCTTTGTCACGATGTGCAAACTCAGCTCGATATAGCAGAACAGCGTGATCGAAGAAAAAGTGTGCGTTGGGGCAGAGACTAAAATTTCGGGATCTTCTGCCAGATTCGGGATCAATTTTTGTTTTTGTTTATGTTTGAAATTATTTCAATGAAATAAGTAATGATTTAATAATAATAATAATAATAATAATATACACCACCAAAGACTGGCTATTTTTATTCAATTCTTATGATTGAAAAAAATATAATAAATATTGTAAATAGAGTTGATTCTGCATAGTTACATTAAATGGAATGAGTAATAAATATACATTTTTCTGCTTATAGCGTAAATCACATTTGGTTAGGAAAAAAATGCGTGCTGTAGGTATTAGCTAATGACTTTAGCCTGAAGACATTATCAGGAAGCTTTTTGAGTGACGATTTAAAGTTGTTGCGTGAAGACGATTGTTGAAACAATGGTTTAATCAAGTTTGAGTATGAACACATTTGGTTGATAGGGGCGGTTTTCGTGATACTCAATCGCTGGTCAACAATTTTAAATAAATCTGAAATTCGCGTATTCCTAGCATTTGTATTTTGGGTGACGAAGTTTTTTAGGCGCGGGCAATGAATAATATCATTGATGAGATCGTAGAAGAACATCATTGAAGCGTTGATGCGCGGTTCTTGTAGCGATTGCATGTCAAGTTTTGACAGCCGTTGATCGTAGCTCGAAATCGTGTAGTTGTTCGCTGTATTTTGATATTCTCAACGCAAACATTGTAAATTGAATGAGAATACTTTCAATTTTTCCTTTGTGGCATTAATAGAACGGGAGCCAAACCACACTGCAATCCTCCAGTACCGATTGAACCAAAGCATAGTAGAGTGACTTGAGTGTGCAAATATCTCTGAAGTCGTAGCAAAACCGCTGGATGAAACCCAGAGTTGACGCTGCTTTAGCAGTGATGGCATTAATGTGTTCGATAAAGTTCAATTTTGAGTCAATGAGTACACCGAGATCCCTCTGTTCGCTGACTCTACAAAATTCATGGGCACCATAAAATTATTTACCAATTACGATGTTCACAGTCTGACGATTTGAGATTGACATGATTGCACATTTATCAAGGTTGAGGTGTAGATCGTTTTCAATACACCATATTTTGAGTTTGTTTATTGCCGATTGAAGTTTATTGATGTCATCAGGTGAATTTATAATCGTTGCGATTTTGAGATCATCAGCAAATAGTGAAATGAAAACGTCAGGGCCTAGCTTCGTCGCTATATCATTGATGAACAGCAAAAACAATGTCGCTCCTATGTGGCTTCCTTTTGGAACTCCGGAGTTAACTACAAAATCGTCAGATTGTTGATGTTCGTATAACACAAATTGTCGTCTATCGGTGATGTACGATTCGATCCAGTTGACAAGATTAAACGGAAGGTTGAATTTCTTAAGTTTCGATATCAAAATGCGATGATTCACCCGATCAAAGGCTTTGCTGAAGTCGGTATAGAGCACATCAACTTGACTATGGCTCTTAATCACGTGTGAGTGAATTCGAATTTTAATCGCCACTTCATTTTTAACGGATTCAATTAGAGATATGAGATATCCTATATCAGCAAAGTTGTAAGGCAGGTTGAGTAATACAATTTTTCTGAAGACATAATTTCGTTATCTCTTATCAGTTACGCGTAAAATGATAAGAAAAAACTCGCGGTTTTCGCGGTTTTCGCGGTTTTTACCGTTACTGATTAGACATAACGAAATGATGTCTTTGGCGAAGTTATTTTATTTTATTTTTATTTTTTATTGAGTAAAGGTGTAAATAACAGGAAAAATCCCTTTTACAATTTATCACCTATAGTTTGTTTTTACAGTTTTGATAGTTACTTTGATCAAAGCATTTAAACATTTCAGTTGGAATAAAAGAAAAATTATTGAATTCTCGATAATGATTGAAAAGAAAAAAATAAAGAATAAATTATAATTTCTGAGCAAAAAAGAAATAATCGAAATCAAATCCTATTTTTAATTGCACTCTTGAATTGCACTTTGCTTAGGTTCAAAATGTCAATGTCGGTGAATTTTCTATTATAGAGTAGTTGTGTTCGCATTGTTGGATTGCGATGCAGACCTTAGTCCGTTCTAGATGTATGAGGATTGAAAATTTGATGATATCTCCTAGATTGACGGTTCACTCTAATGATTGGCCTGTTGTCACGGACTAAATTTGCATCATGAACAATGTTGTGTAGGAGGCAGGTATCAAAGTATTCACGTCTTCCCTCTAATTTGCTTATGTTTAATATTTCAAGTCTTTGTGAGTACGGTAATGATTCATATTGTAGCTTAAAAAAGAGCTGACGTGTGTACTTCCTCTGTATCTTTTCAAGTTTCGAAATGTATGTGCTCTGATATGGGTTCCAGACAGCAGTGTTGTATTCAAGTCTGGATCTGATAAGAGAGTTATACAGGAAATTTACGCAGGACAGGTCAGTGAACTTTGATGCAGTTCTCATTACAAAGCCCAGCATACTATACGATTTTTTGACAATTGAATTTATGTGCTCATCGAATTTCAATTTTCTGTCGAAAATGACGCCCAAGTCCTTCATATTATCAACTTCAATCAGTGGATTGCCGTTAATGTTATAAATGGCATGTGTTGGGTTTATCTTGTTCGAAAATGTCAAGGCGTAACACTTTCCAATGTTCAGATTTAATTTATTGTCAACGGTCCAACTGTGAAGTTTATCAATGTCCCTTTGCAATTCGACTACATCATTAGCAGTTCGAATTATCCTGAAGATTTTCAGGTCGTCTGCAAAAAGTAAGTGCAAATTTTCCAGTAGTACGCTGAGGTCATTGATGAAGATGTTAAATAGAAGGGGACCCAAAACTGAGCCTTGAGGAACACCCGAACTTGGCTCAAACGGTGATGATTTGTGACCATTGAATGTTACATAGACAAGTCGCCTTGTAAGATAATATTTCAGCCATAATAGCAATCCAGCATCAAGCCCCATTAAATGTAGCTTAGAGAGGAGGATATCATGATCAACTGAATCAAATGCTTTGGTGAAATCTGTATATATTGTATGTACCTCAAAACCCTCATCCAATGCTGTCGATACATGACCTACATATTCGATGAGGTTAGAGTTTGTCGATTTGTTCTTGACAAAGCCATGTTGATTTGGTGTTAATTGATCTTCTATTAACGATAATAAGTATTTATTTATGATCTTCTCAAAAACAATCGCAATTGAGTTGGCCATACAGACATGTCTGTAGTTTGTCACATTAGATTCATTACCCTTCTTAAAAATTGGAGTTGCCAATGACGTTTTGAATGCCAGGGGAAATTCAGAGCACGACAATGATTTATTGAAGATTAATGCCAGTGGAACTGACACTTGTTCACACACCTGTCGTAGAAAGAAATTTGGAATGCAATCAGGGCCACCGTTCTTATTTAAATCTAACTTAGAAATTTCATTTTCAACATCGTTTTGTGTGATATTTATTGGGTTTACGGTTGTTGGGTTTGCGGTTTGTGTGATGTTGAATGTGCGGTTTGATAAACGGTCTGTGTATTATAGCCGGAGAGCGCATGCACCTATGTATTTATCATACACATATGC